TGTAGCAAATAATTAAATGTAACATGAATGACTATAGAAAGTATTTGGGGTATATATTGTCTATGAATGAGGCTTGAAAGGAAAAGGGAAATGTTTAAAAAAATTAAAATGGGATATGATGATTCCCATCGGTCCTTTTAGTGACATAGCAGAAGGAGTACTGCAGTTCATATTCCTTTTGACCCCTCTTCCTCCTTTTGTAACACAGGTTAATGTGCCACAGGCTTATTTCACTAAAAATTATTTCAATTGTCCCCTAAAAAATAACATTTCTGGAACACATGTAGCAATCTCACTCTGAGCATTAGTTTGTCTTTCAGGCAGTGTCTCTACCAGGGAATTAAAAACACCGGATACACAATAAATAACATTTTGAATAGGACTACTCACGTATTCAAAGTTAAGGGTGTGCTTAAAATGCTTTGCAACATCAGGGCCAGAGAACTCAGCAACTTCCAGGACTGGCCCCAGAGCTCCTGTTAATATAGTTGCTAATTTGCTAATCAACCAATCTCTTACATACATTGCATCTCTTAAATCAAGTCAGAGAGCTACATATAGAACCATAATAAAGAGTGAAACAATATTGGCACTCCCTAGCAAATCAAGAGTCAGGTCACAAAAAATCATGGCTTCAAACCTTATTTCATTTTTTAAAAAATGGGGTGGGATGTCTGCTTTTTCATCTTGTAGCATGCAATATTTTCATGCTTTCTCCATCTTGTAAAGAAAATATGAGCTGAGAGACTTGCATCACCACTACCCGGAGGCAGGATTTTAAGATAAAACACAAGATATGTAACCCGTGATACAAATATTGAAAGTTGGCAACTCCCCATTTCAACTGGTTATTGCATATTTTCAAAATGACCATGTGTTTTCCTCCTCCAAATCCCAGTTTTTTACACTCTGGCTCAGCTGTTTTTCTAAGCTCCACTGACTAAGCTGCCCATGTCAGCACATGCTGAATTGCAGGCTTTGTTGTAGCTTTCTCTCTCCTGCATCAAGGAGGTGGTTGTTCTCTTTCTGATCCTTCTCTAAAGTGCACAGCTTTTAATTCCATCTGTCCAGTCTGCAGCTTATAAAATAAGAATTCTTTCTAGTTTCTGCCAAATAACGTCTTTTTGGATTTCACTTCTTTATGCTGAATTCCCAGTTATAACTCTTTCATGCGCACAGGATGTGTTTGGTAGTTTAGATGGCAATTGAATACCTAGCATGAGACCAAGGAGTCAGATCTTAAGTATGTTTTTGAGGATAATTTATCTACATGATTTCTATTATGTGAATGGAAGTTAATTGGCTAAATCCCCACATAGCCATTGAAAATGTATAACTAGATGTCTTCCCCCTTCCCATGAAGACCTGCTTGCATCACTAATTGAATAGCCCAACATTCAAAACTCAAAATTGATTCTTTTTAAGTTTTGAAAAACATATTTAAAATGCAGTCAGACATTTTGAGGCTTTTATTACAAATGCAATATATTAGCAGCTCTTCAACATTTCCAGTTGTTGACAGAAATAAATGTATCCCAATAGCTTTAATATTATCTCAGATGGTCTAAGACAAAAAAAGGTGTCATGATATCTTCAGTAATCTCTCCTGTTTCCTCAGACTTATTGTAGGAAATACCCTGAAAATTGCAAATATTTAACCAGTATCTGGTGGTTCCCCTTGCTATCCTTGCCATTCTCAGCTTGAGACAGACTACTGATCCATCTCTCCAAACATCTTGTTTCCAATAATGGCCAGTATTGGGTGCTTCAAAAGATAAAAATCCATGCAGAAATTTGACAGCGGTTAGGCAGCTAATGAGTGAGATCACTGCCTGTCATGCTGACTAATACTCATTCATTGATTCCTTGTGCTATTAGGGGCAGAGACTGCCTTTTGTTCAGTATAATAGGGTCCCAGGCACTACTGCAACCCAATTAATAATCAATAATATAATTGTCATTTGTGAGACAAACTTGATTCCCAGGGGAAGTTTCCTCCTAATCCCCAATAGCTAGAGGTTGACTTCTGCCCTGAAGCATAACAATTTAACAGCCCTGCCAATGTTCTTCTTTAGTAATTTCTATTATAATCTTGGATATTCTAGTTCTCCATATAAAGACTAATCCTTCTTTGAATCCTGCTTTGCACATTTCCACAAGGTAACAGAGACTATGAGCATCATAGTCTATGCTGTGTCTAAACGCATTTCCTTTTGTCATTTGTGATCTCCAGCAATAAACAGACTTGCTTTGCTTCTAAAGAATTTGAATCAAAACTACATGCCCAAAGGTGGGGGAAGCTACAGAGATACTTTGGAGGGTGGAACACTCTTGGGGATAAGGGTGTTCTAGGATGTATTAAGGCCACTACTTGCTATGAGAATTATTTATGTACAGGCAGTCCCCGGGTTACGTACAAGATAGGGACTGCAGGTTTGTTCTTAAGTTGAATTTGTATGTAAGTCGGAACTGGTACATATTGTAGGGGAAACTCTAGCCAAACATTTTTTTTAGTTTTGGATAGCATAGGGAAAGGTTAACTCCCCTCTAATGTTTGTTTTGCTGTCTGTTCCCCTGTTCAGAAGATTTCACATCTATTTCTGTCCCTGTGACAAACTCAGGACTAAAAGAGTAACTCATCAAATACCAAACAGCTCTGCACCATGCTTTGAGCTAATAGCTTTATTTCCACACACCACCCAGGGTTCTAGGAGGAGGGTCCTTTTTTTGCTAACACAATGAGGCCAGCACTTTGTTTGTTTTGGTGGAGTCTTTGTTTGCCCAGGGAGCCCAGCATGTATAGGGGGAGGAGGGGCGGAGAGGCTGCTTTTGTCTGCTGTTCGGCAGCCTGTTGCTCAGGGGAGGGGGCAGCCTGTTGCTGGCAGGGGGGCAGCGGGCGTGGGGAGGCACTTTTCCTCTGCCCGGCAGCTCTGCGGGACCCCAGTCGGAGCCGGCCCGAGGAGAAGGAGGATCCTAGGACCCAGGTGAGTGAGCCCGGGAATGCTGCTGCGCATGTGCGGGAGTTGCCTCACCCCGTTCGTATCTAGGGATCCGACGTAAGTCGGATCCACGTAAGTCGGGGACTGCCTGTATAACTAAATAGTTAATGGATAAGGTGCTAGGCGATTATAGTCAAAATATATGGAGTTCCTGGGTTTTGTAGGATAAATAGAATGTAGTGTTCTCAGACTTTATATATACCTTCTTGTGTATAGTGCTTTACAGTGAACTCTAAACATGATGCCAGCGTGTTTATTGTTTATTGTGACGCTGAGTATGGCACTGAGTCACTTCAACAGTGGCTATGAGCAACATACTGCTTCCTGCTGTGACTCAAATACATGAGGAGGTCTATGAAACAAAAGAGATTTTTTTTCCTTGTCTTTATGCATAAACTATGATATGGCTGCAAGACAGAAACATACCAATAAAAAAAATTGGCAGCAGCCCATAAGAGCCTCTTATGTCACTTCACACATGGAATGACACCTACAGCAAAATTAACTTTGAAGCCAAGAGTTGCAAAAGAGGGGATAGAACAAGTTAAATAGTGGTGATTGGAAGACAAATACTTCTATCACAGAGATACAAATCTGCTCCCTGAACTCCAGATAGGACAGCGGGTTAGAGTAATAAGCCAGCAACAGAGACAAGAGACTTGCCCATCTGGCAAAATCCCTGGTCTGGGACAGCTCAGATCCCCAGGTTGCTGGACCAGGGAAGTTCTACCTGTAGAATCAAGGTCAGAAATAGTACAAGTATGAGGACAATTGTAATGTCTTAAGGACAACAAAAGAACAATTGTCCTCAAGGGATAATCTAAATGTCTACCCCCACATTAATGTGGATGCAAGAAAGACGTGATAACTGTGAAAGAAGTGGAGTTACTGAAAAAAAATTATTGCCAAAAAGGATGCCAGAAAATCTAACAGTGCAGAAATCTTGTGGGCTGAATGGCAAGAGAAGGAAGAGATTCAAAATAAAACAGCACTAAGTGAACAAGTTATGCAGTTGACTAGTACAGGCTGGACCTCCCTTGTCCAACACCCTTGGGATCTGACTAGGGGTACGTCTAGACTACATGCCTCATCCCAGGAGGCATACCTGGATGGTTGACAAATGCCTTTGATGTCGACACCCGCACGTCCAGACTACCGCGCTGAGCCGACAAACAGCTGATCGGCTCAGCGCAGCAGCCATATAAATTTAAATGAAGCGGCGATTATTTAAATCACTGCTTCATTTTCCTATGCCTGGTAGCCTAATCTACATGCCTCTGGCAACAGTCTAGATGTACCCTAGTTCTGAAGGAGGACGTTTGCCAGACCAGGGGAGGTCAGCCCCTCTGCTGACAGACTCTGGGTTCTCCGAGGGTCTGTCAGCAGATTTCCAGGCAGCCAGCCCCAGGATTGTTGGGACTCTGCTGCCCTAGGGTCCTGGACTCTAGCATTTTGGGTTTCTTGGGATCAGCTGTCCCAGGGCTGCCATATTCCATAGCCCTTGGGCCAGAGCTGCCGGGACTCCACTGCCCTGAGCCAGGACTCTATGGTCCAGGGGTTCTCTGGATCATGGATGTTGCCAGACCAGAGAGGTTCAACCTGTGCTTTTAAAGACTATGTAATTAATTGAAATTGTTCAGTTTCTGTTACAGGAAGAGAACTATTATAAACATGTTTTATATATGGAAGTAGTTAATAGATAAAGTGCCAATAGATGGCACCCAGAATATTTTACATAGTTCCTGCTTTTTGTAAGACTAACAGATTCTGTTGTTGTGCACTGGAAATGGCTTGCACGCCATTCTTAACACTACTATCTATGTGTTCTTATTGTTTACTTACACCGTGAAGCATAGATTTTTTCTTCTGTTCAGAGAGTCTTGTCACATATATGCAGACACTATAAGATAAAGTGATAGCTTTCCTCGCTGTTTCTATTATAAGAACTTCAACATCAGCCCAAATTACCTGTCATCAGCTGTTCAAGTCTTCTTTCCATTACTGACAAAACAAATGAACAGCTGTTTGCTTCTTGAACCTGATACACTGAAAAGGAGACAAAGTAATAAAAAAGGCAGTAAACAGTAACCAAAATACATTTTATAAAGGTTCTATAGATAATGCCATGTGAGCTAAGGCCTACTTCACTCTCAACTAACTAAATAGAATAACTTCCTTTATAAAATATTGAATTGAAAAGTGTTCCTTTTTATAAAACTGCCATAACTTTCTGCAACTGCTGTTGAATAATCCAAGACAAAAAAGTGATTCTTTGTGTTTACAATTCTCTGATAAAGTATATTTCTGAGCACTGAAAAATGGCACACACAAGCAGGTACTATTAGAGACTTATTGCATTTAATCATTTAAAAGACATGAGTTTAAATAAATATAGAGTTGAGCCCAATTTTTTCACTGATGGGAGTATGCTTTTACTTTTGAAAAAAGATTTTAAATATTTTCTTTTGAAAAATTTCAATTTTTTTCAGAGAATAACAGCTTATTTTACAGTTAAATGAAACAAAAAGAGAATGTACGTGTGATGTCATTTCCAATCAAATATATTTTATTTTGGTTTAGTTTCCAAAACTGAAAAAATGTGGAAGATACTTTTTTACTGCTCATTTTATCATCTTCAAACACTATTTTTTCCAGTGGCAAGAGGGATTGCAATAGTGGATGAAAGGAGAGGGGAACAATGAAATGAAACATGGCTTCAAACTCTGAAACAAAACTTTGTGAATAGAAGCAAAACTAAATTGAAAGTTTTCATTTAATTTTTATTTTATTCCATTTTGTTGAAAAATTGAAAAATAATAATGGAAATAATAACATTTTCCTTTTTTTCACTTCTTTAACCATTGTTTGAACTGCCCTAATAATTTCTTCCAGCCATGTTCAGATCAAGTCTGATGAATGTACACAATATATTTATTCTTGTATGAAAAATATATTTATAGAGTCAAAGATTTTAAGGTCAGAGTAGACCATTATGAACAAATCACAAGCCACAGAACCTGCTAGTAATTTCATCATGCCCACAACTTATAGTTTAGCTATACCCAAAGAAAAATATCTGTATCCTCCTACTAATTGCTTAAGCCATGTCAGATTTTAAATCTAAACTCTTATTTCAAAGTTGAAAATCAAGGGGCAGATTTTCATTAGGGAAGCAAGTGCCCTTCTCTCACGGAAAGTCAACATGAAATGAATTTTTTGGTCCAGAAGATAAGTGTCCATGTCAGAAACCCTACCAATTACATTGGCACTATTTAGGGTGACCAGATAGCAAGTGTGAAAAATTACAATGGGGTGTTCGAGTATTTAGTGTCTAAATAAGACAAAGTCCTGAATATTGAAACTGTTCCTATAAATCATGATATCTGGTCACACCTTACCAGAAAGGTCAATGATGAAGAAGGCATAGAACTTTAACAACCATATTATATATTATTTTTAAATTTTAACAAGAACAAGCCACCTAAGGAATATCAGTTATCCTTCATGCTTGCTCATATTCTTAGACAATTATTATTTATTATTTTACATAACCCAGATGTAAAGTGTGCTTGCAGTATCATGGTAAAAATATAAAGATTAGAGTAGATGGAATAGTACTACCAACATTTTAAAATATCTTTTCTTCAAAATTTGAAAATGTAAAATTTGGACTTTAAAAAATAATATTATTTTTGCTAAACTCTATAGTTGGCCGTTGAGGAAGAAGGGTGATTTTACAGAATGTTTGTCAAGTTCTTTTCCATTTGTTTTTAAATTTTGCAATTCCAGAGTTGTTACCAGTTCTAAACTGAAAAATATAGCCCTTGTCCAAAAGGAGTTGCAAAGCAATTTAGTCATGATAGTGTAACAATGAGACTATTAATGAAAAGGCGGAGACTTGCGAGCACAGAAGGTAGAATTTTCATAGGAACTTTATCCAGGCTATGGAACCTATGACTAGAGGAAGTAATGTCAACTAAACTAATCATGATTAAATCTAAATACAATATTTTTTTCTTTCACTTATAATTTTCCACAATATACTTAAAAGAAAAATATGACTGACGAGCACCATGCACAACTCAGCCAAAGCTGGGGCAGCAAAACAGTTTGTGATAAAATATGAAGTCCTTGAATCTTTCTGCATCAATCAGGCCTCTCTGTCATTAGGACCTACCAAATAACGAGCGGAGGACAGGAAAAGAAAAACATAAGTTTACAGCAATATTAGAGTTGCTCTGAGGAGCCATCAGTCCATTGGCAGAATGGAGTGGGCCTTATTAATATTATATAAAGTTTAATAATAAAAATGCATCAGGAGGCTTTTAGACTCATCTCCTTTTCCCCCACGGGGCAGATAGCTCTTCGGGTTATGATATAAATGTAGGGAGTACATTTCACGATTCCTATCCTGATCATGTTACTAATATTAATGAAATACACCTCCACCAGAATCTTCAACAGAGTCGAATGCCCACATTTGGAGGTCAGATTTGCAGCACAGCACCTTGGATGATGCTTTCCATGGAAAATCTGGCTGTATCCCCGAGGGAGCAGAGGAGTCCTTGCATCTTTTGAAACTATGGCCACAATTTTTGGAGCTGAGTGCCTGGGTTCCAGCACTGAAGCTCTTTTGAAGAATTGGCCCTAACATGTTTCTTATTAAGGCGGTGTTTTTACTCTGTACACAAGTCCTCACTTCAGATTGTACTGAAGGAGGTTGCCTGTAGTACTTGGGCTGTTTGGCAAGAGGTGCTTGTTTTCCAACTGAGTTAGTTTGGTTTAAAAAAAAATCAAAGATTTCCCTCATGGCTGCCACATGGAATGTACTAGACTGAGGGATGGGGATAAAAGCAAGGAGGCTAGTAGAGTTTGAGGCACTGTTTATTACCTTTGAACATTACCGAATAAAGGGAGGCTGAACTTTTCTGTCAGGAGAATGTGACAGTCTCACTCAACTGTACTGATTTGTAACGGTGTCTCTC